CAATGCCTGCGACAGTGGCGTAGGACTGTGGCATTCGTCACGTGACATCATACATCTTCCACGACGTGATATTGCGCGTTTTGCAACTCTCAAATAAATCTATGGTGTAGTATTCAAGTGAGATGCTGAGCGCATCAGGAGCGAAGACATCAGAGAACGTCCACCTCTTTCAGGTTCTCGTGCTATTTCATCGGCTTGAGCGCTGGAGTGAATGATATCATCGGAACGACCAGAGCACACATGTATAGACCTCGCTGTACGATTCCAAAACGACCAGCTCGCTGCTGGCGTCGAAGCACCGCAGGACCCACTTTATTCCCTCTCCCACCACCTTGCTTAACAATCACTGCTTTGCATCGCTCACTATTTGCAGATCCGGGCACGCCTCCAGCAGCCTTTGCATGAACGGGCCCAGTGCGCTGTTGTCCTGCGGCAACAGGGGAGTGCATCTGACGCGCTGCAAGTGGGGGAAGCACGCCAGAGCCTGGAACCACTGCTCCGCGGGAAGTTCCTGATAGTCGCTCTCTGTCAATGAGTCTGACGGCTGTATCACGTACTGGGGACTGACCTCCGAGCCGTCGGTAATCGAAAGCTCCGTGATCTGGCGGGCTACTTAAGCGATTTCTGTAAGCCTTGAGATGCCCTCCACGTGACAACACTCTATCGTCATTATAGATGGATGGGTCTTGATGCCCTCCACTAACTCTTCCCTCCATTTGAGCGTTACTGGATCGGGGTCATCGTCATATGGTTCGTCTGGGTCGTCTGCATTAGGAAGATAGTCCCATTTCCAGGGGGCTTCACCATCCAGGTTGAGTCCACGGATCTTCCGGATGCTCGTAACCGCTCGAGGGTTTCCGAGAATTGCAGCCGTGGTCGGGGCATGACACTCTAATGTATGGAGGTTCGGAAGTGCACCGTCGGAGAGCATCAGCGCCCGCCCTTCCTTGCCAGGGAGCTCAGGAGGGAGCGCCAACTCCTCGAGGGTCGGATGATTATTGAGAAAGTGGCGCAGCGTCTCGGCAGTGCAGGTCGACCCTTCAAGGCGGAGAGAGCGGAGATTCTTCCAAGCGGCGCGTCTCAGCGAAACATCGACGCGTGCGCTGTACTCGAGAAATTTGCTGGAGAGGAAGGTGAGGCTCTGATACGAAACATGAGTAAGGAATATCCAGGCTATGAGTTAGACGAACCGTCAGATCAGGATAGTCGGTAACAGACATGTTGAGCATCGACATCACATCCTGTGTTCCAGGTTCTATGCTAAGCCTATTCGTCATGATATTCAGGGATAACAAGCCCCGGAAGGACGGCAGCTAAACAAGGCTGCGGTGAGCATGGGCTGCTCCCTATAATAAGGGTAACGGCGTACCGGGCAGTCGTAGTCCGTATCCAAGAAGTGCAAATCCACGACGAAGCCCAAGAATTTGAGCACGGACCAGATACCGTCGCTACCTGGAAGCCTCGGGCGAAACCAGCGAAAGCGGCGGAGATTCCGCATAAGCTTCACGGCTTTGATCAGGTCATTTTCGTACTGACTCAATAATTCCTTTGCGTTTCGACTCAGGAAGAGCTGGTCGTTCGTGGCCAGTTCCGCGGCAGGTACACTGAAGGGGCTATTGCGATACTCGGCTGGTAGCCGCTCCTCCGTCGAAAGGGAGTCTATGTCCTGTTTGGCGGGATTATTCGAAAGTATGGTCATCCGGGTGAGCCAGACGCGTCCAGAGCGCGGGCGCGAATACGCGAGTCCGTATGTCGCAGTACTCAAGGTGCGTGGGGGATATGACTGAGGATAGCAGCGTGCTCGTCAGAGCGAAGGACAGGAGATCCTCGCGGCGGTCGACAGAGCAGGCAATGTGGTCCAGTATCTCGGGAGGGAGGTCAACGAGCAACATGGGTACCTAGTGCGGTTCGCATCCATTAATTCACCTACTTATATGTTCGGGCGGAAAGAAAGACTATCACTAGTATCAGGCATGCGGTGATTGCGGCAGCGATATATCCGCCGGAGTCAGACTGACTGTGCCCCAACGGGGGGTCTACCGAAATCATGTTCAGGCTCGCGAAACATAGCGTCGGAGTTGCCATGACAGAAGGACTTCGGCAGGAACGAGCTCACAGTCTAGCAAGCAAGATACAACTGGGATAAACCCAACAAGACAGCCTCTTCCCTGCGAACTTTCCACTGAGACCAGTAGTTCGCCCATTCGATGCGATCGTGAAAACGTCTGCAAGACTAGCAACCTCCTAGACTCTCAGTTTCAATTCATGATCCTCAGTTTATTGAGACTAAATAATGGTTAGAAGTTCAAGATCAAGTGTGGATCTTAGAATAATAACTGCATGATTGCTGCATCATCCCGTCCGTGTCGTTTGCCGTCGCAGAAGATGATCGTCCATTCGAGATGCAGAAGTCCAACCAAGTGAAGCTTTGAATCATCGAGGGCCAACATAGTCAATTCTAGGCGTTACTGACTTCGTCGACGGCGGCGACAAGAGATGGCGGGATATTTCGTGGCAATGCCGGAACTTTATTTGGGCAACGCCACCGTGGCTGCTAGCTGCCATGACTCTGCTTACCATCGATGGATTCACGCACGCTTGCTGGTATCGTATTCGTCGAACCCATACCTCAATAAATCGGCAGCTTCATCGCTCGCCACAGACTTCAGCTTGATATCATGACTGCAACATGGGGGAATGACTGGTTTTTTTGCGAAAGTTCCCCGATAATTCTACAAGGACGTCGATGACTGTCTCAGCCTGTGCACTCGTCCTAGAACGTTCACGCTTCCTGCCGAAAGAGACATTCTGTGGTATCGGAACCGCTGGGACTCGGGACATGGACAGCAAGGTTTTTCACCATCGACACTAGGACGACAGATGATACAGTCTTGCCAATATAGCAGAGGTGGGGCCCCGCTATCCTATGCAACGGTACATATTCAGTCAATAAACTCGGCATCGTAGGAAGGACTCATCGCTGGCGACCTTAACCGTATCTGCCTATTTTCATGCTCCTCGTCTGCACATGGAACCACTACGCCCAAGGATTCTTCAAATCCGTGGTACTGTTCCTGCATCTGATATCGACAGCGCTTTTGTCTCTGTATATGGCAAGCCGCAAGGTAGAGCTGTAAAGACCGCGCGGGATGCGCTGGTTCGATTGTCTGGTGGCCCGGAAATCGCAAGTGTTCCTTAACATCGATCCGCCGTCGACGTGAACGCTGTTGCAGTCCAAGAGGTTTCCTCAGTCAGCGATCGCTCAATTGCAGGTCCGGAACACACCTAACGGAAGGTGTCGTGCTCACGAAGAGTGGTCAGCCTTGTGATCAATCGCCTCGATCTATAGTCCATCTCAGAAGTGGCTCGGAAGCTGACCGGCGTACCTTCGCTGCATCGTACTCTGCAATTTAACCAGAGATGAATGCGCAGTTTCTCTCTGGCCCGTACGGTCCGGCGTCGAAATTGCAACCTGCCTACTAGCGTTACTAGTCGGAGGACACTGCTTGCCAGAAGTCTTGTCTCAGCACTTTGATTTTACTAGCGGATGCCTTCTCTGGCGCGGATTCTAGCTGTCGAAACGGTGAAGGAGGCAATGGCAGTCGTCGAGATTCAGCAAGGTCGGTGGCGCGAACTTTCCTGGTTCATGTTGCTCTCGGTCTTTGCCGCCTCGTGTTTCTTTGGGCGTCTACTGGCACCCTGGACATTAGAATTGGCGCCCAGTATGCGGAGGTCACAATGGTGGTGTCGGCCGTACCTCAGGGAGCGAGAATGAAAAACTCAGAAAATTCACTGGGGATTACAGGCCCATATCAACTTTACATCAGCCGTATTCGTACAGTATCCTTCTGAGACAACTTGAGACCCTCCGAGAAATTTCAACCTCCGTCCCTCATCATTTATCTATTCAGCACACGCATCTTCGACTCCTCAACCATCCTAGCACCCGCGTCTCTGCCGTCAGTATCAGTTCCCGCTGAGCTGGAGCTGCAGCATATTCTCGGGCGGCGCGTCGAAGACCGGGGGAAGGAGCTGGGGGAAATGAATCCAGAGCGGCATCAACGGGGGACGGTCGCTCTCCTCGAGGTTATCCAGCTTAGCCTTTACGCGCAGTATGGCACGATGCTCGAGGTATTCAAGCAGCTCCAGATACCGATGGGCTTCCCGCTGGTCGCGATACCACCAGGGCGTCGACGGGTGCTCTCCGTCAGCGAGCGGAGCTTGCCTTCTCTCGCGCCGGACTGGGATGCCTAGCGTCACTTCGGCCTCGCTGTCACCAGCGTGTGCAGCGGGCGACCTGATTCCGCAACATGTGGAGTATATGACTTCCTCGCCAGTTAGCGTAAGCCCCTTGCATGACGAACAGGGACTGATGCCGGCATTGAAGGCGGCTCCCCGCGGCGTCGACACTGATGCGGTCGTCGCTGTTGCTGGAGAAATCGGTGACGTGGGATAATCCAGTCCTGCCAACGGAAACGGCGGCTCCCTCCCTTCGCTATCCAGGTCCTCATCAAAAGGATCGAATCGGATTGGACAGGGAAGGCGCGACATGCCATAGCGGGCATGGGGACGGCGAGAGTATGCGCGCGACAACATCAATCGCCTGGGGCAGTTTGCAGGACAGGGCCCAGGACATTCAACAAACGGATATATGGCCTGGGTAAGAGCAAGACTGCATGGCTCGGGCGCCGCGGGGAATTGTGTTAGGTCGGGAGCATCCGGAGCCTCAGCTGGCTCGGGAGGAAAGGCGCCTCCTTGCGGCAGCGCAGTGCTCGCGGGCGCTTCGTATGGTGCTGGAACCATTGTTTCCGGTGCTTGATGACCCGTAGGGACGGGCCACGGGCTGGAGTAAGCGTACGGCGCCTCGGGCTCGCCGGCGCCATATCCACTGTTCTGTAAGACGCGAAGGGGTACGGCTGCGGCCTCCTGGCTGACAGCGTTGGGAGGCAAGCTAGATGCGAACGGCCTTGGCTGCCAGTAGTGCGGGGACCAGTCCGTGAGGATGGCCATTCGCGAAAATGAGCCGCCCTCAGCGTAGTCGAGACGGACCGCCATCGACCCGCCCTCTCCTGACGCGGCGTGCTGCCTCTCGATCGCCCAATCCACAAACTGATGTTGCTCCGCCGCAACTGGATATTGTGGCTGATCGTGTGCCGCCGCCGCGGCCGGGTACTGGGTCGATCCATGCTGTTGCAGGATGAACTGTGCCGCTTCCAGTCCCAGAGCGATCGGGTCGTACGGTGGCGGGGAAATGGACGGATGGTCGTGCTGCGAGGCGGCGGAACTCTGGATGCCGTTCGCTCGACCCTGAGCGCTCACGAGCTCGGCTGGTTGCCGGACATGCGACAGTTGAACACACTCTGTCCCCTCCACACCCTTTTCCATCTCCATCACCGGTGAAGACGCATCTACAGTAGTCGTCGGCGGCGGTGGCAGCGTAGCATCAGGGCCTGGTTTCGGGCCAGTAGCCTCGACTTGCTGTGAGGTAGCCGGATCCTGGAGAATCGCCGCTTCTCGTTGAAGTCGGCGAAGGGCTCGCTCTCGTCGCCCTGGCTTTGCCCTCAGGCGAGGGGGCATGTCGCCCGGCGTGGGACTCGGGTCATCGTCTGGTGCCTTGTTCTCCGGCGGCGACAGGACGTTGGTGGCTCCCATTCGTGCGTCGACGGTGTCATGGCCTGCGGCAGGGTCTTGCCGGCAGGCAGCGGGATCATGGCAAATACCCCCCTGCCGTTGGAGGCGCAAAAGTGCACGCTCGCGCCGCCCTGGTCTCACTTTCCTTAGACGAGGCGGCAAGTTAGGCATCAAGGGAGGAATGGCTTCTTGGCATGCTTGCTGTGCCCGTGCTGTGTGCGGATCAATGCAACGAGAGTCGTCGGCCAGAGCAGGTGGCACTAGGACACGATGTCCATTGAGGTCAGTAGTTAGAGGAGTCGTCGAACTCGACTAACAACTGAAGTTAGATATCCACGCATCAAAGCTCGCGGCGCAAAGAGATCGTGCTCACCGTCACATTGATGCCCGTCTGCGTCGCGGTCTTTCCAGCAGTAAGTCGATTTACCACCGTTGCTTCAACGACTCTGGGATGATCGATAACGTGCCTAGTGGCATAGTTGCCTAGCTGTATCGGATTTGTTCTGGTCTGTTCGCCAAAGGCGAACACTGTCGTGGTAGACATGACGACGTGAACAATGTGAAAGTATAGGCAGGCGTTGAGGTCGGTGAGGTGAAGAGGGCAAGGCGAGAGACTCCGCCGGGAGTCGCTCTCACTTATCACTGATTAAGGATCGCATCGGTCCGATGGTTGCCGCAAATGCAGCTTCTCTTGACCGCTCTTTGATGCTGGATGGCTACGCATCACCCTTTCCCCAGCGGTATTTCTCAGGCCATCCTCTGTGCCATCTAGCTGTGACTCACTGCCCTGGATTCTAGTGCGCCAAGCCGCTTCCTTGAGGAGGGGGCGGTGAACCTGAATGCTGGATTTGGGGGTGTCGGTGATGTTCGTGTGGCGCGGGGTGTCTAGGGCCTGGGAAGTTTGACTTATACTTTTATCCATGCTATGCCAGTGCTTGTACCTTCTCCCTGTCGTATCCTCTGCTTTCTCGAATTGATTTCCTGCGTCTGGAATCTCACCTAGTAACGAAGAGGGTGTTATGTTCTTTCGGCCCTTACGCAAATTGTCCCAAGTCGCGCCACACGTCACTAGAATTCACTAGTCTCAGAGCAGTGGCAGAATCCTCTCTAATAGATTTACTGTGTGCCACAACGGTGACTGCTTGAAACAGAGGTTAATCAGTTACCCATGGATTCAGATCGATGGCCCCCGATGATGGTCGCGACAACCGCAACAAGAGGTGGCGCGCCCGACGGCTCACACCATAAATCTCGAATGCTAGGGTGATACCCACAGCAGCACCCGCACGACCTATCGTGTGAGGTCTCTGGAGCCACATCTGGCATGCTATGAATGTGGGGGTCACAATCGAATGCATCGCGAGTCATGGCAGCTTTGACTATAGCATATCAATTCGCTCTTAACTCCAGATTCTATGAAGGATATCACTTCGACTGGATAGGCTTGAGGTGAGACATGTAAATAACGGACATTGTGGTTGATTTCATACGATAGCCAAATCTCTCTGTTCCACTGTAGTAAGTACCTCTTCATTATTGCTGATCAAGACTGATATCTATCTGTTATAGCACCGTTGTCTGCATGTCGCGTAGCACCGCGTTGACGTACAATACGCTGTCAGGAAGCGCGAGTCGCCAGATGCTTGCAGTCACATTGAATGAGCAGCGCACTTCGAGGCGTCGTCGTGAGGGTCTCCATAGTCAAGGCTAGCCCTCCTTTTTCTCCTCTTGCAATGGTTATGATGTACGTGCCTTTAAATTTATGCATCAAGTTGCGCTACAAGCGTGGCTGCAAAGTGGATATTCGACGCTTTCACTTTGTGATGAGCCTGACGTATGCCAGACGATTGGAGGTAGCATCCAGAAGTATGAGCGTTTATATACGAGCCCACGGGCCACGGGATTAGAGACAGGGCCACAGATGCGCAGGTCAGAATTGGAGACCAAGGAGAATCGTGGCCAATTGACGTTCGCCGGAAACAAGCGGAACGTGCGAAGCCACACCCGCGAGCGTTGTCGACGCGTCGGATTACGACGCCGGCTGTTTTTCTGCTGCTCGCTCTCTGTCGTGCACCTGCAATCAGTGCATACTCTCTGTCTGTGATCTCACTCGATTGCGTCCAAAGGAGAACTGGAATTATCGATGCAGTCAGTGGCCCGTCTCTCGCGAAGAGGACGCCTGGGTCGACGTCGCTGTAACTCTCCGATAAGTAACAGGGGCATTTAGCAACACCCTTATGCGAAAGATCTTGTCACGAGATTCATGGAGCTGGAGATTGTTTTCGATATGAATGGAATGGTACATCACGGTGCGACAAATCGCAGAGAAAAAAACCTGAATTCGTCTACCAGTCTCGGTACAAAGTACAAGTATTTCTCCCCTCCTGAATCTACTAGATTATATTTGCAGCGGTCATGAAAGAATGATGGAAGATGAAGCATACAGGAGGGCGGAGATACGTGCCTACACTCAGTCGCTGTTACGCGTCATCGGAATCCCAGGCGGGTTCTAATCTGGTGCAGTTGTCGTAGTCAAACTCAAAAGTGAAGTCGGACGGCTCCGATGTCTCTCTCGGAGGCCATTCACCCCATGGCCGATAAATGTCAGGCCAAGGGATGGTCTGGAAGGGATAGTCCACAGTCAGATCGAACGGAACTTCCTCTGACTGCACAAACTCGATCGTACTTGCACCAGTCCTGGTCGCGCCTGGAGCTGCCGTGGATCTCTCGAGAGGGTTGGTTAATTGGATTGATTCATTGGAAGACATCTATTGACCAAAATTCAGTAATCCTTATGCAGATTCGGTCATTTCAGTTATACCCACGGAATTCGACTCTGTGTCACTATGTTTCTTTGTCTTCCTCACCGCTTGTCACGGACGGAGTCGACGCGTCTGGGGTCACCTGCGCTTTATCGGATCGATGTCTCTTTCTCGGTCCTGTTTGCGGCTCTGGCACCGGAGGCTTGTCCTCGAAGCGATAAGTGGGGTTGTATGGTCCCTCATAGTTCTCATCCTCCCGGTTTCTCTTCGATGTGAGGGAGCTAGGGCTGCGATCCCCGGAAACCTGTATGCAATACTGTTGCTCTGTAGGAAACTTCTCGAGGCCTTCCTGGTAAGGAGCAGAAGATGGGCTGCGGACATTGCATGGAGAAGGCTGTTCGGTTTCTTCTCTGACGCGCTTGTCATTGCTGGTGACGTTTGTCATCCCCACAGTCCTGGGACCTGCCTGCTCTACCTGTGTACCGTGTCTGCCCCGCGCCTGGATGACGTTGCTTATGCCTGTAAGCTGGTCTCCCGCACGCTGCGCTGCAGAATTCGCAGTACCCGCGACAGGCAGGCGGCCTTGCTCCGGAAGCATACGGCTGGGAGTGCCGCTAGCATAGGGTCTCGGGGTAACCATTGGGTGAGGAATACGGGAGGATCCCTCTGCCTTTGCATTGCCCACCGCGCCTCCTGGTTCTTGTCTCCCGCCTGGCACCGGACCAGCAGGTGTTGGCACGCCTTCGGGATGGTCCCTCGTTCGCGTAGGAGCAGGGATCTCACCCCAAACCAACGGAGTGACCCTTCTGGAGCGCCCCTCGTTGCCGAGACCCTCGTTGATGCCCAAGTCGATACTCGTTCTCGCGGCCCTACGTCCGGTACGACCGGCTGCAACACCTGCACCACCAGCAACAACCGGGCGGTCCGCAGACGTTGGGGCTCGTGTGGCCTGAAGCTTCCTGGGTGCAACGCTAGGACGCGAGGTATAGGAGAAGTCCTTTGTCTCTCCAGCAGTCGCTACTTCACTTGCTTCTTCACTCTCGCTATCGTCTGAATCGCCTTGGTACGCGGCCCGTCGCATTGCTTCTCTCATCTCTCGCACACTGAGGAACCCTGGAACGTTGTATGCTACAGCTGGGGCTGACTCAGGCGGCTCGCCCCTTCCTCTCCGAGGGAAGCCATCGATGACTCCGACTGCTCCGTCTTCAAGACGTATATGCAATCCAGAGCTTGGATTTAGGCGCGTGGGGGCGTCTACGGTCGGGATAAGGCTGATGCCCGCAAGGTGTCCGATGTAGCCCGCTGGGACCTGCGCACCGCTCATAGGTCCGCTGTAGATGCTGTACCGTTGCTGTCGACAGCGTCAGGAATGTTATGGTGGAGGAGAAATGTGGCACGTGGCATACCCGATTTGCCTCCGCCATCCTACGCGATCTGTCTAAATTTCCTCTAAAGTTGAAATCTCTTGCTGGATCTTCCCCCTCGTTCGTGGTTGTCTCGCGAGACATCGTGTCATTGCGGAATCTCTTGGGCGTCTGTTGGCGGGCAGTCAGTTATGACACGCATAAGAAGATAGTGGCGGTGGCATACTCCACTCCTTCCGTCGACCACCTGTCTGTGTTGGAGGCGTCTATCACGCCTGGTTCCATTGCTGCTCGACCCAGGCTGTGTCTCAGATGCGCGTGGTGCATCGTGGATATGCCGTACCTGTTGGAACAATATCCTCTGCGTGACTGGAGTGCCCTCGGTTGTCGCCCGGTTAACCA